ATCTTGTAGAGCAAGGTTTCCTCTACAAAACCTACTAAGTCACATTTCTCCAGAATATAGCCACATTTTGAGATATACGAATCGACTTCCTTACGCTTTAACCTATTTTAAAGTGTTTAGTATTTTGCCTATAACACCGTCATTTCTCAATGAAATTGGAAAAGTTTTTTTACCAAAATGATCAGCGGGAAACGCTCTACAAATTCTGATACGAAAAAAAATTTTCTGAGCAGTTTGTGATTTTTTGGTTAACTACTTATGGAAATATTCTGCAACATTTTCACAATAAAAAGTATTGAAAAATCGATTTCGAAAATTTATATATTTGAATGTTGTTGATGTATTTCACCAGTAGTTATAGCTAGAGACCTGAAACTTTCAGAAACAGAAGATCTTCATTAGATATATATGTGATAAAAATTTCAGCCCTCGATGTCAAGAAAAAGTATGAAAAATATGAATAACAATTTATCGTCAGTTATTATGGAACACCCTTTATATCTCAATACTAATTAAAAACTTAAGATCTCTTTTTCTCTTGATCAGTGTGACATTTCAAATTTTGACAATTTGTGTAACGGACAACATTGCTAAGTGATGTTTGGACGATGGCTATATGCCAGTTTTCTTCGATTACATTTTTAACGCATCTTTTTATTGAATTTTTCTTTGTATAAGAGGTTCAAGCAATCCTGTTTACGTCCAAAAAATATAAATTATATAATGATTTAATGAAATCCTGTGAGCCAAAAACATATATTGTGTTTGCACGACTAGTGGAACTTTTCAGTCCATTTTATTGCACAATATTTCACGAGATAATCTATATGGAGATCTGTTCATTTACTTCTCACAGTCAAAGCAGCGACTTTGCGCATAGTAAGACATAATACAAGTGAATAGTGCATCTGATTGCAAATGATTATTTTTTCACGTGAATAAACATATAAACATTTTCTTTGTCCTTTCATAACTGCCCTAAAAAGAAAGTGTCGTTGTGTAGATGCGGGTGTTTGTTTCATCCACACTCATACTTCGTTTAAAAAGAATTTTTCGAATTACTGCAATTCTAAAAACATTCATGTACTCCACTGACTTACATTAAGAAATTTTCTCTTGTAAACACACTGATTACAGTTTGAACTGTATACATATAAATTTGATGTAAATAATTTCATTGTAATGGTCCAACTATTGTTGAAATGGCATCCTACCAATCTTTTTTTTGGTTTTCTTATGATAGAAAGTAAAATCGTTCATCAGCGAACAATGTTCACAGTGAAGAACAAATATTTATTATTTGAAGAAGGAAACTTTTTTTTTTCATATAACACATCACAGAATGCGAACTAATTTGTAAATTTCAACGTTTGTTCATAAAGAAAAAAGCAATATGTGATTAATACAGATTAGTAATAGTAAATAAAGTGAGAAAAAAAGCAGAAATTTTTACAACTTGACAAATATCATAAAAGTTGGATACTTGTTTAAATGGACTGATTGCAGTAAACTGTTCTTCTTTTGTAAAGCAGAAAATTAACCCATTCAATAATCTTCATATTTCATCTATTATTTATCAGGACGGATAACAAAAGCTGATAGAGCAAAACCTAAAAATACAACACCACCAACTAATGTAACTGTCTTTGGTGATATTCGTTGAGCAATAAAACGACCACCAATAACAGCTAATCCAGTACATAAACCATGACCAATTGTACCACCAACAATAACACCTAGAAGATTTTCACTAGCAGCTAATACAATTGTAGTTATTTGAGATCGATCCCCCCATTCCTAACAAGTAAAAGCATTTAAATATAAATACTCATTTTATTTATACGTACAGCAAGAAAAGTCATAATCAATGATTGAATAAATATGGGCGATACATAACGACGAATAATCAACGTAATATTCGTCATAGTACTTTTTGTGGTTAACTTTTGTTGTTGTTGATTTCCTTTTGATGAATTATCTAAGGGTCTATCATCAGCACCTGATTCAAGATCATTAGTAGCTTCAGCTTTTTCTACTTCTTGTTGAACTTCTTCATATTCTTCTGTACCTTCATCAGGTGACATAAGATATCCATCTTTTAACATTTTAATACCAAAACCAGCAAATAATATACTTGATATATAATATGTATAAATACGCGGGATAAAAGTTGTTACAATATTTCCTAATAATGCTGATAGAATTGTCATAGCCCCAAGAGCACTCATTGCTCCAATATATATAATTAAACGTGAATGACGCATTGCTAAAATAGCAGCAATAAAAAATGTTTTATCACCTAATTCTGAAACAATAATAACAGATATTGATGCAATAAATGCATGAATAAAACCAAGATTTGCACTATTTTGATTTTTTTCTTTCGTTTTATCATGCAATTGATCGTCTTTATTTTTATTGGTCAAGACTTTTGTTCCATTAGATAATGTTATTTGAACTTGAGATAATTGTTGAGTTTTAAAATAACCATTGGAATAAAGATATAATGAGAGAAATAATAATGAAAAGCCAATAAATGTGGCTAATAAAAATATACGTGTTGTAATAACCATTTCACGAAACTATATTAAGAAATAAAAATGAAATCAATTTAAATATATTTATATAGTGTAGAACAAAATTATTTAACCAAGAGTGATTATCAAATTCTCTTAGATGAAATTTTCAACACTAAGAACGTGCAAATATAATTTTGTTCAGCTACAAAATGAGGCATCTTCGAATTCTGTACGACCTTTTTTGGTCGAGATACAACAAGTTAATTAAAGTCCCAAATTAAATCTTACAAAGAAAATAGTAGAAAAAAAGTTTCATGATGAAACTCATCGAGTCAGTTTCAGACTTGTAGTCGGATCTGTACTAGAAATGCATAGAAAATGCCAAGAGCAGAATATAAGTCACCGATGAAAAGTATCTTGTATTTTTCGAACCACTATCAGATTCAGACTAAAAAACTTCGAGCTTGATGGACTCTACTTCTCAGACTGTTATAAGATTGCTGTCTCACAGCAAAAAAAGATCGTAGAAAACGCGGAAACATCAAAGTTTGTAGAAAATTATTTCCTCTATCATTTCGTGAAACATAAAAAAATCACATCTGCGCATTCTTGATGTTGAAAAACATGAAATTTGACTTTCTAGGAAACCCATCGTGGGGAATCGAATTATTGTTTCTATTTTCTTGTGTTTCTGTTATATAGATTTTTCTTCATTCAAATCACTATTTGGATGTTTTTAGCAAATAAAAGAGTGAAAAAAAATTTTAAAATAAGTTTTGTTGGGGAATTTAGGTAACCATTGTAAATTTCATTTTCATTAGAAAAAAGTTTGGTCTTTTTTTTTTTATTACAGTCTGGGCCGATAGAGGAAAACTTATACTAACATGTTAGATTAGCAAAGCAGGATGTTTTATGAAAAAAAAAACAACTAAATAAGCCACATGAGCAATTTTGCATATTCTATGTAAAGAGATAATATGAACCTACTTTGTGATAAAGTATAAAACACTTATCACCAGGAATGCATTGTAAAATCACAGATTAATAATTTTAATAAAATGAAAGAGAATAATCTGAAATTAAATAAACTATGTGTCAGATATATCCTTATAAATAAGACAGTCGAACGTAGTTTTAAAGTGCAATAAGGAATGAACAAATCATTTTCAACTTAGTTTTCAAATGAGTTATTCAAAGAATAGAAAAAAACAATTTTGAAATAAATTATCAAAATAAATGATTGAATAACTAGTTTATTAGTTTTATCAAATTATTGTAACTTAATATAATGACATCAAAATATACCTCAAATATGAATCCTTAATGAACTAAAAAGAAGAGTACAATTCATCTAAAAATTGACAAAAGAAATAAGCAAGATCGTTTTCTTATCTTAAGAATGAAAATTCATTTTATTTTTTTTTGCATATAAATAACATGAACAATAACAGTGTCAAACAAAAACAAAACAGCTTAACAATGTAACGGAGTATCACATCATCATATTCACGTACTTTCCTATTCTAACTTATCTCTTATAGCAAAAAATCAAAATTAAAGTGGAGGCAAAAAGTTTAGAAACGAAGTATTTTTTACTTAATAGTAACAATTATGAAAGTCAAAGAAAAGACTTGATTATTTAAAACCATTTCCTATCAGAAGATATATTTTTCAAATTCTCATTAACAATTTCGGATAGTAAACAAGGTCCTATCTTCGACGAACTACATTCATTTCATGAAAGGCTCTAAAATGTATAACAGAGTAACGAATGAGCCGAAAGTTTTTCTCAACCGATTAGAATGGTCAACACAAACTATAAATTATTGTGCTCTTTCTGGAGCCAGGTTTACAATTTCTATTAGACTCATATTTTTGGAGTTATAAAAGAATCTATGGAAGGTCAGAGAATAAAGTCGGGAAGGGTCTCAGAACCAAAAAAAAAACTTTTTTCAGACTTACAAAAGGCACTCGGCTATTTCTGAAAGATTGCTTCGAGAACTTTGGTTCTTTATGGCGCTTGCTAAGCAGAACATCTGCTTTTAGGTACTGATCCAAAACATTTCTATACAATGCGGTCAAACGAAAAGATGTGAAACTTGAACAAAACTGACATCTTTAAACTAGAAATACGAAATTGTTGAAAAACATCATAGAAATAATTTCAAACTGAATACAATAGGGACTTCGAAAATGTTGGTCCATCCGTTACTATCTTTTCCACTTTATGGCATTTCATAGAATGATTGTTGTTCGCTGAAAATAGATCATTTAGAGGTCGAGAACGTCTTATTTTGTTGAAAAATGTTTTCTGTATCATATGAACTTGCTTTCAAAACTTTTTTGATAGAACTTAAAAAACTGGTTTTCTAGAGATATTCTATCTAAACTTGTTAATGGAAATTTAACGAATACAGCTTCTAATATTACTTCGTTTCTAAACTTTTTGCTTGTATAATTTAGATTAAAACAAAAATTCATTTATTGATCATATAATTCCGACATAATCAAAACAATCAATGATGACCATCCTGTAAATGGATGACTACCTTTTCCATTTCCAGTTTTATCATCATATTGTTCCCAAATATGACCTGTGTTATCATAGACACGTAACATATTATTTATAAGATTTGTACGTAATTGTTTATAAATCTGTTTAGCTTTATCAGAATATGGACCAGGAATGTTTGCATAATGTTGTAAAGCTGATAAAACCATATAATTCATATTTATCCATATAGCACCTAAATGATTATTTTCGAAAATTTAATTATCATCGACAAAAAATAAAGCAATATTTATACCTCTCCAATAAGGTGGATCATGTTCAGTATTTCGCATTCCATATATAGAACTTGATCGTGCTAATGATCGAAGACCATATGGTGTCCATAATAAAGTTGAATTTTTTAAATCATTTAAAATTTTTTCAAGTTTATTCGATTGTGGATTTAAAATACGTATCATTAATGGAAAAAGAGAAACATAACCAAAATGTTTGACATATTTATAATTAAGATCTGATTCTTTAATTACTTGTCTAATCATATGTGTTTGTTGATATTGTTGTGTTGGTGATTGTTTTGGTATTAATACACGTTCTAATTGAACATAATCTGTATGTAAACCATAATCAGCATACATTTCATATTCTTCAGACCAATGTAATTGATCAAGTAAATCATTATTTATAAGTAATTGTGCATAATTTAAATATTTATTTGTTTGTTCATTATTTAATATTGAATAAAGTTTACCAATAACATTTGAAGCTAATGTCATCCAACAACGTAAATCTAAATGACGTTCAAAATTCGTTGGATGTGATGCACGTGGATAATCATCTAAACCACTTGTTAAAGTTTTTGGATTAAGTTCATATATTGATGAAGCATTTCGACCACGCCAACGAAATGTAAATGGTATTGGACCAGTTTGTGTATGATTATACCATTGATACCATTTTTCTAAACGTTGAATAAATGGTAATGTAAAAAGATGATTAGCTTGATTTGTTTTCAATAAATAATCAATTGTTAAAAAGAATGTTGGAGGATTTGCATTATTGGTATATTGAACAATAAATTCTGATGGAACACGAGCACGAGCTTCATCACCGAGTATTATTTCCTAGAAATGAAATCGGATTGTTAAAATGCGTGAGTTAAAAAAAATGACAACTTTCGAACCAATATATCTCTTTAGATTTATAATGTGAAATATTGAATAGCACGATCTTTAATAAACTTTTCTAGAACGGACCAAACTAAAGGATGATTCAATATCTTTCAATTAGTTAAAAAAATCAATCGGTATTATTTATCATAATATGTACATCAGATATAGAATCGGTTGGATGTTTAAACGGCCATGGCATTTAATTTTGTACTTTCTATTTTTCATCTAACTTTCTTCCCCAGGATCAATGATTTAAGGTTTTCAGTGGATACAGACTATCAATAGAACTTGAGATATGTTTGAAGAATAAATAATTTCCATCGTTCAAATGCTGTCTATATTTTCAAAATCAAAAAACCACTTATGATGTCAAATGCAAAATTCTTTTTCTTGCATTAGGTTACATTCTTTATTGTATAGAATAATATTAAGATTCTAACAGAAATCATACAACAGTCAAGATTACTCAAATTTGTTAGAACTTTTACTGAACATTTATTAAATATATATACTTCCTATGTTTAGCAATTATTGGATTTTCTTTTTGTTCAATTTGAAAATATAATGATACGATAGGAATAGAGATGTGCAGGACTGAAATTTGGTACTAGGTGTTAACTAAATCAACAACTGTTGAAAGATTTTTTTTAAATATTATACGAACAAATTCCGAAATAGCCTTCTCAATATTAGAGCTGAATTTTCTTTTGGTGAATTAAGAAATGAAATAAACAGGGATATTGACTGATCCGTATCCCGATGAAGATAAAACAGATGCACTCACAATGATAGACTTTCCCATTGTATGATAGTTATGTTTTTGCTTATTTTAATTAATCTCTATCAGGTATTATTCATTGTAGTTTCTACTGCTTACAAATAAAATAATGAGAAAATAATTTTTCTTTTCTATATTACACCTTCTTTTCTGTTGAAAATATTTATTCTAGTCTTAAATTCTTACTCGAGGTATCCATCCATTACTATTAAGCATATCAAACCAATGTTTAATAATATCGATAGTAATATTTTGATTCCATCGAGCAATAAGAAGATTATGAAAACCTTCATCCCAAAGAAAACCACGTGGAAAAAAAGAACGTGATGGTACAGCTGTATATAAACTTGTTGTCCAATATTGATCAGGAGTTTTTTGATTTGCTTTTGCTACTAATGATTGACCTAGAAATAAATCAATAAAGAAATCTTTTTTTATTTTTTTGAAAATATTAATTAACATTTACCAGTAAAATAAGAAATTCCACCAATTAAATTACTTAATGTTGAACGAGCAAAATGAATTGTTGTTTCATTCATTTTATGTTTCGTTTTTAATTGAAATATATTTTCAAAACGTTGATCAAATTGTTTTTGTAATCGAAGAATTTCTTTATTAAAATATGAACTAGTTAAATCTTGTTGTCGTTCATTATCTGATGAATCTGATTGATAGATAATATCAAATGAAAATGTTTCATCAACTAATGGTTGTCGTAAAGTTATTTGAATAAAAAATGTATTATGTTCGAATTCTTTAAATATTTGATCAGCTAATATAAAAAATGGTTCCTTTGGAGGATTGTATGTTAATTTTCTTTGAATATCACGATGAATTGTATCCAATTGAAAGACATCTGTTAATGTACGAATAATAGGTTGATGAGATAATGTATTTAATTGAATTTTAATAGTAAATTTATCTAATTCATTTGTTTCACCACGAATAGTTATAGTATTAGGCGACTGTTTTGATATTGATGTTAATTTTTTTATCCATGGAAATTCGTGATGGAAATAGAAAAACAAAGATATTGGTATTATTCTATCGGTGGGCTAAAAAATAAAAATATTTAATGAATATTTTGCAAGGTCGTCGTGAAGATTAGTCTCACAAGAGAAGATTTTCAATTAATCAATCGCTTCCTATGTCAAACTTAGATATACGTTAAATAATCGAATGAATACAAAAAATGTTTCTTATGAATCTTACTACATTAGTCTCTATGTTACTCATAATGAACCCAATTTGTTTGTAATGCGGTGCGAAGCACAGAATTCATATAGCCGTTTCTGAGTTTTTTTCTTTCCTTATTTCTCGACGTATTCATAAAAATTAAGTCATGACGATCTCAACAATAAAATGTCAAAGAATACTCATTTAAATGCACCAATAAAGCTTCATGATTGAATCAATATCAAACATTTTCTGATCTTCAAAATTACACTCCATTTTCTCAAAAAATATCACCCAGAAAGAGAGATATTTGTGAAATTTAATTTTTTTTCAAACTTCCCAATTCTTCAAACAATGATAACAACAAAAGTTAGTCGCTACTTGGTTTGCTTATATCAAAGACAGGTGTGACTACAGCTTATGATACATAGCGAATCAAAAAGAAATCAAATGATCAATGGAAAACATAAATTTTTTTCTTTTAACGCAAAAAAATCTAATTCCAGTAAATACTTTTGGCGAAAAATGTTCCATTTTCAATTGTAGAAACTAATGGCAAAACTAGAAGATAATTGGAGAGAGATCAGTTCTCGGGTTGCTTAATAACTAAAAAAATCATTTATTTAATAGTTAAAGATAAACAATTCTTATTTTCAATGATTATTAATGAAACTTTTGGTTTTATAAAATACGAAAATTTAATACTGATTTTTGTCAAAAACATAAATTTTTTACAAATTTTACACAAATAATTGTAATGTTTGATTGTTTTATTAAGTATTATCTTGCTTTTTTTTTGTTTAATGTTTCTAACATGTGTCTATTAGTATTCTATTTTAAAACTATTTGGCATCAGATGTTTTCTTTTTTTCATACTTTTGGAATAACATTGATACGCGTTGTCCAATCTCCTCCATGTTGTCCACTATTTTGTTTTATCCATTGAATATTTAAATCAAGATTATTATCTTTAATATCTTCAATTCCAAAGTTTTCACCATCATGATATGTCCATCCATATTTTAACTGATCATTTTGATCACACCAATGTCTAATGGAAAATTTTTTCAAAATATTTTTCTTTTTATACATTTTTTTTCTACCTAAGAAATCGATCATTGGATTTTTGTAATGTACCATAATCAAACCACATTAAACCTCCACTTAATGATTTTACACTTCGATGTTTTAAACCAAAATATAAATTCGATCTTCAATCAAAACAATTATTCGTTTTTTTTTTGTCTTTTCTGTAAATAAAATCTTATTTTACCTATATGTTCCCCAAAATCTCTCCAGATTTGTCTCATTAACATTAACAAGTTTAGGTAAATTAATCGGAATATTTGTATATTCATCATAAATAAATCCTAGTAAAATTTTATATAAACTAAATAAAACTACGAGACAAATAATGAGATATATTAATGTTCGTAATCGAAATTTAATTTTCGGCAATAAAGATTGAAAACTAAATGAAGTATGACGAGATTGTTTTCTTTTTTTTGTAGCTGCAATAATCTTTTCATTTGTTTGTTCACTATTTATATTCGACGAACGTTTATTATCAGTTTGTCGACGACGTTGAGCTGTTTTTTCACTCATCTAAAAATGCACAAATATTTGTTCCTGTTTTTTTTATTCAATTCCAATAAATGATATAGGATTTATTTTCACGAACCAGCGCGTTAAAAATACAATTAAACCATTTGATATACGTATATAAGACTGTTTTAACAGTAAAAAAAAACATAATCACCATAGAAGAACAAATGCGGAATAGGAAATGCTTTATTAAAATGTTTTACGATGAATTACTTTAGCACCCTCAGTATCATATTCACGTTTTGTTACCCATATTTTTTTAAATGTGTCCAGTGATGCTAATATTGAACCGCTGTAAGTAAAAAAACAATGTTGAGTTTTCAAAAAGAAAAGAAAAGTGTTGTTATTTATATTTACCCAATCCATGTTGAATAAAGACGTTCACGAGGTGCGGAAATTTTTATTTTAACTTCTTTTGGTGCAATCCGTTTTAATTCAGCCAGTAAACGATCACCGAAACCTTAAAAGTATTCTGTTTTCTGTTTTGATGTAAAAAGAAAAATAGATTTACCTCGGAATAAAGTTGAACCACCAGATAATACAATATTTTGATACAGTATACGTCGTAAATCCATATCAGATCGTTGAATTGAACCTGATAAAATTTCATGTATACCTTCACATTCATCACCAATTAATTCTGGATTAAATAAAACTTCAGGTGCTCGATAACGACTTGAACCAAGCTACAAAAGAAAAATATTGAAATTTGAATTAGAAATTATTTATTTGAATACATCAATTGTTGTTCCATCAGGTAATGTAAATTGTGATTTATCAGTTTGATTTACGTCTTCTTTTTGTGCTGTTGCAGTTAAAAAACATACTCGTTCTTTAATACTTTTCACTATTTCAAATTCAGCTGTTGTTTTAAATGTATAACCTTCTTTTCGTAATAATAATTTTAAATAACGAGTAACATCACGACCAGCTACATCATTTCGAAAGATACTATGTGGCATAGCAAATCCTACAAATAAAGATTTAATATTTCTTGAACATTATCAAGTAGTTGATCACTTCTTGTCTTAAACAATGGAATTTTCAATGAGTTAGATTTCATTATAGATTATATTCATCAATGACATACTTTAGGAAAAAAAATAGACTTCAGATTTACATACTATACTGAATATAGATGAAACACTGTCGTACCTATTATAAATGATATGTTTTGTTGGATTTTAGTATTTGCAGCAAAAATAAACTGGAATCTAATATAATCGCGATAATAGGCGCTACGCTTTCATATTTATTAATAGCAATCTACTCTTTGATTCCGATGAAATATTTAATAAATTAAAATCATCTTTTAAGATAAATGTTATGTTCACAGTTATAGTTATGTCAATATATTTAGTTTATTAATTTCTAAAAATGACATTATCAGTCGCTTTCAACGTTTTTTTTTTGTTCATCTTTTTACGTATAGGTTATTGTCCTGAAATCCGTTCGGACACTAGGTCCAAACACGAATAAAAGTTTGAAAACCGTATTGTGAATATAAGAGTATGTGCTGGATATCGACTTGTCTCAGTCCGGATTCAGTTCTGAAAATTCGAACTCGTGCATGACACTAGTATAGATTGCTTGAAGTTGAAAGTAGACAGTCCTTTAAAATCTTGACAAATATAAGTTACACAAGATTTTGTTTTTAATATGTTCTCTCATGAAATAAAGAAACTTAATACAACGATTGTTCTTTTCGAATGACTATTATCAAACTATTTAATAGATGATGTCATACTATTTCTCATTTATTTTATACGAACAAAACTGAATTAAATTACCTTCGTAAATCGGTACTGCATGAGTAACGCCATCACCTGAATCAAGTACAACACCTGTCGTTCGTCCACTTGCATATCTAAATAATCAAATATTTCTCTTAAAATGAAAACAAAATTAAATATTCAACTAACAAGCTAAGAACAGCTTGCATAGAAATAAATAAAGCTGGAACATTGAATGTTTCGAAAAAGATTTCTGCTGCTTTTTCACGATTTTTTCTTGGATTTAATGGTGCTTCTGTTAATAGAACAGGATGCTAAATAAAAAAAAACATAGCTCAATCACATTTAATTCAATTCTTAAATATACTTCTTCAGATGCTGATCTTAATTGATCTTTCGAATAAATATACGTCCAAATTTTTTCCATATCATTCCAATCTTCGACAATACCATGTTCCATTGGATGAGCAATAGTTAAAAGTCCTCTATATTCTTCAGCTTTAGGTCCAATAAATATATCACCTTCAAGACCACCAGCCATAACACGTACATGTTTTGGTCGACCAACATAATTCGGAAAATTTATTTTCGGTGTCGGATCGCCGGCAAAGCCAGCTTTAATCATTCCAGAACCATTATCAATTACAATTGGTTGATTTGTAATCAATATATCATTATCCATTGTTCTATATATTTTTTAATTCAACTGAGATGAGTAATAAAAAAAAAAAGACTCTCAAGGATGTAACCAATTGATGTAGTGTTGAAATGTGAAGTTTTCATTCGTATAAAAAAATAACCAATAGAATTAAGATAAAATATATTTATATATTCACATTTTTATTTCCTTGTTATTATGGTTGTTAGTTTTATACGTTATTAATCAATGTCGACTCAATTAAAACGTTTTGATGCATATGCTAAAACCTTAGATGATTTTCGTGTACGAACAACAAGTGGTGGTCTAGTTACAATACTAAGTACATTTATAATTGTGATATTATTTTATCTTCAATTACAATATTATTTAACTACTGATATTGAACAAGTTTTATTTGTTGATACAAGTCGTCAAGAAAAAATGAATATAACTATTGATATTCGATTTCCAGTTTTACCATGTAGTTATTTAACCATTGATGCTATGGATGTATCAGGAGAATCACAAACGGATATAGTACATAATTTATATAAAACAAGATTAGATTTAGATGGAAAAGTTATAGCAAACGAAATTGTGAAAGTATCACTTCAACCATTACCAAAAATAAATGGTACACAACAAAATATATCACATATTTCCGAATGTGAATCTTGTTATGGAGCAGAATCTGAGCAACATAAATGTTGTCCAACATGTGATGATGTAAAAGCAGCATATAGAACGAAAGGATGGTCATTTGATGCAAGTGAGTTTTTATCGTTGTCAAAAAGACTGCGGTAGACATAGGGTAGAGCCAAAACTTTTTTTTTTCTCATATTTTTGTTCTATAGTTTTTGTGGTCTTTGGGAAACATGTCTGACTGGTTTCCTCTATGCGTTTTTCCACTAAATAATTCATTGGTTCTCCTAGAAAAAAAAAGATGAAACCTCTGGGATATTGAATCGCAATGATATTTCAAAAATAAACTAGTTTTTCTCACTCATTATTTAAGATTTTGTGAGGTAGAAGATCAAAAAAAAAGCTGAAAATTAACCAAATTTGAAAATAATTTCAATTGTTGAAATGGATTCAGAAAGATGTCATAATACATCTTTCTTATTTTGTCTATTTTCTTGATATATCCTTACTCATATTAGATGACAACATTTGAATTAAGCTGAATCAAAAATATTTAAACGGATGTAAATAAAATGTGTATTACAGGTGTTACATTAGACAATAATATCATGATTCTCGAATCTTAAAATTCAACATTGATGATAAATGAATAGAAAGTAACTAATTTCAGCGATTGAACAAGTACAGTTATAAATACCTTCTACTTGACAATGTCACTTTGGCCTTGTGCTTAATACAATATACTGATTCATCCTATTTTAGCCGAGAGTAAAAATGTCAAAAGATACAAATGTTGAAAATAATTTTGTATGGAACGAAAAAGCCTTCATTGCCACTCTTATATCCACATTTTAATCCCTTCTTTTCGTTTTCGATTAAAGTACGGTTTATCGATGTAATTCACCAGCAATTCATATTTAGCTTTGATAAATATTTTCGTAGTCCAATCACATCTGTACGTTGAAATCTCTTTTATTGTTCGTCATTCGATATTGTAACAAAATTTATACAGAGTTATTTCAATAAGAGTTAAACAAAAAACGAGATTTGGTGACAAAAATATATCATATTGTATAAGATTACACGTGACACAAATATGTAATCTATATGATTTCTACATATGTTGTTATCTTAAAAACTTATTTGAAGAAAAGCTCCATTTTTTTGTGACCTCAAAATCTTTTTTAAGTTCTTAAAACATGTCCGATAAATATAAGATACTTCGAATCATATGCAGAGAAACAATCAAAAATAAGAAATTTTAAAAAGCTGTCATCAACGAGAGGATTCTCTTAACTACATTGGGATTTATTACCAATATTAACTACAAGTGGGCTTGTGTAAAATCTACTTAAACGAATTGTCAAGTAAAAAAAGTAACATAATAAATAAATCTAAGCGAATTAATATTATTTGTAAAAGATTATTCATGCTTTTCGTTCTATGAAAATTCTCACTAGCTCCTATGAGTTTCGAGGGTAGTAAAGAATACTACCATCATAGAAAATATATGTTTCTTTTTTGTGTTTGCGAAATAATCTCAAATTATTGATATGGAAAGTAAATCAACGATTTAATGCTCTACTCCCTATAGCAAATTTAAGAGCACTACTGATAAAACAGCCGTTGGAACAGAATATTTCTGTCTCCGATATATAGACAGACCGATTAAGTATACACTCGTTCAGTTTCTTCAGAGTCTAATGGCGAAGAACGATTTGACGAAATTCTATCTGAGACCTTTGACAAATTTGATGTAGTTTTCCCGCATTGTAGGGGCTGAAAAATCCGTCGTGGCCATTGGTTGTCTTACCAGCTCTTTTCTATCGAAATTTCCTGAATTTTCCGAATGATATTGATACCAGTAGTAGACATTGTCATAGTTATATATATATCACACAATAAATTTCTATAATGTATTTAATTTGTTGATACAAAAATATTTCATTTAAAAAAATTCAATTTTTGCAGTTTTTTTTTCAAAT